TGACAGGCGTATATTTAGGACACAGAACTCATAGGACTTGCTGATGGACTGGCCCTGTGTGGTTGGGGTAAGAGGAAGAGGAAACAAGATGGCCTCAGTGAAGAAGTAGAAAGTGGTGTCATTTACTGAGATGGGAAAGAAGCAGATTTGGGAGTAGGGGGAGAGGGCAAATCAAGAGTTAAGTGTGAGTTGCCTATTAGTCATCCAAGTGGAGATGTCAGGTCAGGAGCCTAATACAGACTCTGGAGTTTAAGGGAGAGGGCAGGGCTGGAGATTCGCACCTGGGAGTTATCCTCTATGGATGCATTTCAAGTCCTGGATGGGATGAGATCACCCACAGGGCAGCATAGAGTTTCCAGGACCAGCTCCCCGGGGGACTCTAGAACTTAGAGGACCCACAGAAAAGATCCTTGGAGTCACTCTCTGGGTCAAAGAGTATGACACATGACAAACTGCTTTCCAAAAGGCCCTCTTGTCTCTTCACAGAACCCATCTTGTTTGAGCTATTCAAATACAGCTTTGTGAGTGGGACTGTACACACAAATGGGCAGGGACACCGGAGTTAGGCATCCTTGACTGCTTTTGCGTGGGAGCCGGGGAGCCTCAAGCCACACCAGAGGATTAGGCTGCTTGAAGGAGGCATCAAGGGGCTGTAGCTTGTCCAGTGACTCCCAACCACAGAACTGCCCAGCAAGCTTATTACAAATGCAGATTTTTAGTAAGAGCTTCTGATTCACTGTCTGGAGTGAGGTGTGTGTTAAATAAACTCCCTCTCATACAAACGAAAGTTTGTGAAATCTGTGGCTTAAGGACAGACTGGGTGGAGAGTGTGTCCTGGTGACATCTCTTCACCTTCAGAGGCTGGGATAGGGGAGTGGGGTTTTCAGGAATCTTAGGTGAGGCTGGCTGGGGAAGTTTCAGGATGGTGGCATAGCAGAGCACTGTGAGGCCAGGGGGAAGAAAAACACCATTTTCTCTAGTTGGGGGACACTTTCCATTTGCTCTCCAATTCAGAATGAGGCTGATTCCCCAAACAGATGTGAAATGGTACCTTATTTGCCATTCCCTTCTCCAGGGGATCTTCCCAACCCAGGGATCGAACCCACATCTTTTATGTCTCCTGCATTGCAGGAAGATTCCTTACCATCTGAGCCACCAGGGAAATCCTTATTTAACACAGAGGCAAAGTTGAAAAGTTCTAGTTCCCTGGAGTATCTACTCTGCCCTCTAGTTACATAGCAGAGAGGGGAGTTTTTTGTTTTTTTCCCTGTAACCTTGTATGGAAACAAGAACACGTTTTTCAATTAAAAAAAAAAAAACACATGTTGTTGCTGAAACTGAAGTGGTATCCTACACTTTGGATACATTATGGATTAAATAAATTTGTGTGAAAACAGCTAAGGAATAATGGAATAGATTTACTGTTAGACCTCCTGCTAGGAGCTAAGAAATTAATCTTGCATTCATTGAATCATTATTTATTGTGCCTTCTAAATGCCAGGCACTATTTGAGATTCAGAAAATAAAGTAGTGAACAAAATAGACAAAAATCCCTGCGCCTAACAAATAGATATCCTAATTAAGGAGACAGTAATATTAAGACAGATTTATCATTAAATTATTAATTTAATGATAAATAAGTAAAATGTATGCAGCATTAGATAGTGATGAGTACTAAGGAGAAAAATATAAAGGAGGGAAGGGTGGGCAGAGGGGGTGGGGGACAGGAAAGAGCTGGGGGCCAGGATAAGTGAGACAGGAAAGGACTTGAGAGCTGTGACTGAGGAAAGTAACTCAATTTCTCTAAGTCTCAATTTCTTCACCTGTAAAATATAAATAATATTAATAGCACCTTTTAAAGATAGTTCAGGCCCTCAGACTGACTTTGTCACTTTTAAACTATGGGACTTTGGGTACAAGAATTCTTTGGGGTCTCAGAACCTCAGTTTCCTCATCTATAAAATCAAAAGATTTGCCCAGCCTATGTCACAGTTTTTTGAAAGTGCCAAACAAGATAATTAATATGTGTGAAAATATTTTAAAACATGTAAGCTATTATTTAAATGTAAGAAATCTACAAAAAACATACACATAGGTTTTTTTTTTTATTGTTTGCAAATCTCTTGCTGATGATCAGCAGAGCCTCAGGACTGTTAGTAAACAATGAATTAGGTAATGACTTGGTACTGATTCCATGCACTGGCACGGAAAAGGCCAATGCAAATTATCAGGATGTACTGGGGAATCCCACAGACAGAGGAGCCTGGTGGGTTACAATCCACAGGGTCACAAAGAGTTAGACATGACTGAAGCAACTTCGGGGACACACACACACACACACACACACAGCGTCCCTGTTCGGACACACACACACACACACACACACACACACACACACAGAGCGTCCCTGTTCGGACACACACACACACACACACACACACACAGCGTCCCTGTTCGGACACACACACACACACACAGCATCCCTGTTCGGACACACACACACACACACACACACACACACACACAGCGTCCCTGTTCGCGCACACACACACACACACACACACACACACAGCATCCCTATTCAGACACACACACACGCACACACACACACAGCGTCCCTGTTCAGACACACGCACACACACACACAGCGTCCCTGTTCAGACACACAGACAGACACACACACACACAGCGTCCCTGTTCGGACACACACACACACACACACACACACACACACACACAGCGTCCCTGTTCGGACACACACACACACACACACACACACACACACACACAGCATCCCTGTTCGGACACACACACACACACACACACAGCGTCCCTGTTCGGACACACACACACACACACAGCGTCCCTGTTCGGACACACACACACACACACACACACACAGCGTCCCTGTTCGGACACACACACACACACACAGCGTCCCTGTTCGGACACACACACACACACACAGCGTCCCTGTTCGGACACACACACACACACACAGCGTCCCTGTTCGGACACACACACACACACACACACAGCATCCCTGTTCGGACACACACACACACACACACACAGCGTCCCTGTTCGGACACACACACACACACACAGCGTCCCTGTTCGGACACACACACACACACACACAGCGTCCCTGTTCAGACACACACACACACACACACACACACACACACACACACAGCGTCCCTGTTCAGACACACACACACACACACACACACACAGCGTCCCTCGTGGCTCAGTTGCTAAAGAGTTACCGGCAATGCAGGAAACTGCCTGCAATGTAGGAGACCTGGGTTTGATCCCTGAGTTGGGAAGATCCCCTTGAGGAGGGCATGGCAACCCACTTCAGTATTCCTGTCTGCAAGATCCCACAGATAGAGGAGCCTGGTGGCCTACATTCCATGGGGTCACAAGAGTCAGACACAACTTGGCGACTGAACCACCACCAAGTAGATTAGCAATCATATCTCTTGTGAAGAGGGATAAAAAAATCAAACTAAGTGTTCCTAAGTAGACACCTCATAAAACAATTATTACATGCCTTTTGTCAAATTTTAAAATGATTTAAGAAGAGCTGACTCATTTGAAAAGACCCTGATGCTGGGAAAGATTGAGGGCAGGAGGAGACGGGGACGATAGAGAATGAGATGGTCGGATGGCATCACTGACTCAATGGACATGGGTTTGGGTGGACTCTGGGAGTTGGTGATGGACAGGGAGGCCTGGCAGTGCTGCGGTTCATGGGGTCGCAAAGAGTCGGACATGACTGAGTGACTGAACTGAACTGAAAATGCTTTACAGCTCCTTTATGTTTGTTCTTGTTTTGTTTGTGCGACTTCAGCTCCAGGAAAACAACTAGGTAGACTGAAAGAAGTTATAAACACAAACAGTTATTTAATTTGCTAAGTGCAGACAATCCACCTTCTGGGTATTTCTGTATATGCTCAATAAACGTGAATCAAAGTAAGATAATTTCAAACTTAAGTACTCTTTTTTTATCTTCCTATCTTTTTAGCCTTGAATATTTCACAGCATCCCCATAATGGTTAAATCAATAAACATGTCAGTATGTACGAATGGTATAGAGTCAGGCACACAGTAGGTAACCAGTAAATATGTTACAGGAAAGCATGAATGATTACTATGTAAATTTTCTTGCTATGACTAGTAAGACGGTATTTTACATTAAAATACACCAATACTTGCCCTCCATGTACAACGCTAATCTGGTAAACCACATTAGGTCCATCTACAGTGTTCAATTTAAATATTAATCCAAATTTAGCCTGAATACTACCTGACAGAGTAGGTGCTCAATATTTGCCAAACAAGATGCACATTCAGAAATTAGTTACTACAGCCCAAATAACCCCCGCTCAGGCGCACGAACTGGACACCTCCAGCTCACATTCACCAGGTGACTTCTACCACTTCTCTGAAGTTCTGGCCCCCACTCGCCTAATAGCCAAATTAGAAGCTTTCTTCTGCTTCTCGAAGTCTTCCTCTTAAGCGCTCTACGTCCCAACTGTCACCAGGGTGCTAGGACTGCCCCACAGCCGGTTGGGGGTGGTTGGCGGGCGGGCCCAGCAATAGGCAGTGTGGCTGTTTCCTATTGGAGCTTAGTTGCTATGGTATCACCGACCTTAAACCTCGCGGGCGCTACTTCCGGAAGTTAAAAGAAAATTACTTCCTGAGCTGCCCGTACTTGCTATGGCCGACTGAGCAGGCACTGAGCTTAATAAAAATGAAACTTTTCCTGGAAACTCCTGTAAAATCTGATTTAACCACGTTAATTTGTGGGCATGACGTAGTATCATATCCCTTCTTCACTTTATAAAGGTTTACTAATACATTTCCCCCGCCCCCATCTATTTGCCAGTCTCCAAAATGGCGCCGGCGACTTTGAGAAGGTCAGAGGTGAGTTCCGTGGGCCCTCCCGGTTCCGGCGCGATCTAGGCCCAGGGAGGCGAACAGTCTCCGGCACCATGTCTGGCTCCTCAGGCCCACAAGCTCGGCGTGGCCCTTGCCCGTTCGCATTGCTGCTGTTACTCCTGCTCGGCCCCAGCTCGGTCCTCACCATCTCCTTCCATCTGCCCGTTAACTCCCGCAAGTGCCTCCGCGAGGAGATCCACAAGGACCTGCTGGTGACGGGCGCGTACGAGATCACCGACCAGTCTGGGGGCGCCGGCGGCCTGCGCACCCATCTCAAGGTGCGGCGCGGGGTGGGGCGGGGAGGGGAGACCGCAGGCGCCGGCGAGGTGGCCGAGGATCGGGGAGTCGGGCGGGCGGAGGCCTGGAGGGCTGGCCTGGCCGCGCGGAGAGCGAAGGGCGCGCCGTCGAGACCGCCCCCTCACCCCGCTCGTTGGCGGTCGCGGGGCGGGACTGGGAACCGCGCACCGAAGCCGGGAATCCTTTAGAGGGCCCGCCAGGGCCTTGGCGGATGTGGTGACCGCTGAGCGGCCGCGGCCTTGACTTTGGGTCCTTGTCAGGGTCCTGTCCCTGTTTTGGTTTTAGGTACTTTGAACTGGTAATTCGGGGTCTTCGAAGAAGTCTTTGGAGGCTGATTATTTGTGGGGGTCAGCATCACAAGACATTGATACCTGCGGGAAAATAATGAAATCACTTAAATTTTCTGTGAATAATAAAAAGCTGTTATTTCTTGAGCATCAGCTGTGTTTAGGTCCCGTGCTCCTGTATGCGTATTAGCAATTAGTTCCTACCCTACCCTGTGAAGTAAGTACTGTTTAGCCTCATTTTACACGTGATAAAACTGAGGCTCAGAAAGGTAATGGAGCTGGTGTCAGAGCTGAAGTGGATTCTTAGGTTGGGAGTTAAGTAAGGTGCCAGAAAACTGCTGCAGTCTTATTCTCACCGTGTCTTTTATTTGTCATTCCTGTGATTGATTAAAGTCGATTTTTGGTGACAAAACGGTCTCAGTCTCTAGTCCTTTCTTTTCTGGTTCCCCAGAGTCTGGGCTTGGCCAAGTTTTCTGTAAATTTCAGTGATACTCTTGGATGGTGACGAATATTGCTGTAGTGCCAGTTTGGTCCCATATTGATTGGGGATGATGACCAGACCTGATCTTTGAAGTGTTAATGTGTTTGATATCTGTCAATATTTGATTGTATTTTAGGTAATTTTATTCATTCACTATAAGCACCTGGTTTTTGTTTTTAGCAGGAGGGGTCTTGAACCCAGACAGGAAGAAACATTTTTACACTTTATTAGAGCTTTGGGTGTAATAAGACCAGAGTTTATTTTTAAGGTATTGGAACCCAATAGTGGTAACAAATGGCCTCCCAGATGGTTCAGAGGGTTGAGAATCCACCTGCAGTGTAGGAGGCTCTGGAGATGAGGGTTGGATCCCTGGGTCAGGAAAATTCCCTGGAGAAGGGCATGGCAACTCACTGCAGTATTCTTGCGTGATGAATCCCACAGACAGAGGAGCCTGGCGGGGGCTACAGTCGCAAAGAGTTGGGCATGACTAAAGTAACTGAGTATGCACAGTGGTTAACAGATGCAGATTATTTGAACTTTGAGAGATGTAAACTATTTTCACCACTGTTGCACCATGACCCAGACTTTTGTTATTCTCTTCAGGCCCCAAACTTCTCTCTGGCCAAGAAAGAAATGATGGCATAACTTTATAGACTTAGATACAGTATTTTGGGGGTCCTGCTTCTGGCTCTTCAAAGGGTGTAGTGCATAGAATCAAAGAATTTGAGCAATGAAAGAGAGTTTACTCAAAAAAAAGAGAGTTTACTCTCATCTCTAGTGTTGCCCCTCTGATTGGTTCTTATGTTTTAAAACCTTAACTGTTCTTTACCTGGTAAAGTTTAAATTTTCCAACATACTCTGTAGCACTCTTCATGATCTGTTCCTGAAGCTTTATGCACTTTGTCATCACTCACCTTTGCATTTTATATATGAGCCACCCTGAACAGAACCCTAAACTCAGTTTATTTTCATCTTACAGTGTAACTACTTGTATTTATATCTTGTCTTCCTCATTAGACTGTTAGTATTGTGAGGGCAGTAATTATTTTCATGTTCATTTTTTTCTGAATGTCAAGCATACTGACTTGCTTCTAGTAAGCACTTAATACAGGAAGCATATAATATAGCAAGTTCTTACAGGAATTACATTTATATCCAAGGCTGCTGAAGGGACCTCAGCAGCAGGAATCTGTATCTACATGCTAGCATTACCATCACACACTTGCTCTCCCCATGTCTGCTCTGTTCTCTTACTTTGTGGTTGTTTATTTCTAAGTCATGCCCGACTCTGCAACCCCATGACCTGCAGCACACCAGGCCTCCCTGGCGTCCTTCACCATAACCCAGAGTTTTCTCAGACTCATGTCCATTGAGTCAATGATGCCATCCAACCATCTCATCCTCTGTCTGCTCTGTTCTCTTGCTACTGGCCAGCTTACTCAGACTACTTCTGAGGTCCTTCTCCTAGATGCCAAGTAGGTAACAAATGAATGAGTTGGGCCAGCTATAAGAAAAACAGCCGTGATGATAAATGGTGGATAACGAGGAATAGTGGAAACTCTCAGTTTGGAATAGTCAGTACTCATCTCTTGATGTGGACCTGTTGCCACATCTGGTTTTTCAAATAAAGTTAGAAATCCAGATTTTGAAGCGAAAGCTCTTGATTTTAAAATATCACCAACTAATTCAAGTTGGTCTTGGTATTTGTTTATTTTTTATAAAGAAGATTACAGCCTGTCCACCATGTACACATTACCCAGATTATCGGAATCGTGTCACACTTGTTTCATCTTAACTGCTTCTCCCTTCGCATTTTATGCTGAATCGTTTTAAACTAAAGTCTAATTATCATGGTGTTTCAGTCTTTCATACTTCAGGGTGAATCTCTTTAAAAATACAAACTTAATCACAATGTTATGTGACTGTTTTCATGCCTTGCAAAGTTAGCAATAATTCCTTAATGCTATCTAATAATTGATTGATGTTTAATCACTAAGTTGTATCTGACTCTTTTGTGACCCCATGTACTGTAGCGCTCTAGGTTTCTATGTCCATGGGATTTCCCAGGCAAGAATTCTGGAGTAGGTTGCCATTGCTTCCTCCAGGGGATCTTCCCAAGCCAGGGATCAAACCCATGTCTCCTGCATTGGCAGGCGGATTCTTTACCACTGAGCCACCTACCACTTCATACTGAAATTTCTCCACTTGTCTCAAAATAGCTATTTAAAATTAATTTGTTGTGTCTCTCAAGTCTCTTTAATCTACAATAGTTTCATTCTCTCTTCCCCAGCTCCCTTTTTTTTTATATGCTTGAATTATATTGTTGGGGTCAGTAGTTCTTAAATCATGTCCTACATTATAGGTTTTCTCTGCTTCCTTGAGGTGTCATTTGACGAGTCTGTCCCCCTTGTTCTTGTAAAAGTAATCAACTATAAAGAGGTAACTAGATTCGGGTTTATGTGAGGTTACTTCACAAGTGGTATTGTGTACTTCATGTGACATCATGGCACTGCACACAGTACTTTTGTGCCCCTTGGTGCTTCTAAGGTAGATCAGTGGATTCAGTTGTGTGTATTAAAGTCCAGCTGCTGCTATAACAAATCATCATGAACTTAGTGGCTCACTGGTAGCTCACCTGGTAAAGAATCCACCTACAATGCAGGAGACCCTGCTTCTATTCCTGGGTTGGGGAGATCCCCTGGAGAAAGGGATAGGCTACCACTCCAGTATTCTTGGGCTTTCCTTGTGGCTCAGCTGGTAAAGAATCCTTTTGCAATGTGGGAGACCTGGGTTCGATCCCTGGGTTGGGAAGATCCCCTGGAGAAGGGAAAGGCTACCCACTCCAGTATTCTGGCCTGGAGAATTCCATGGACTATATGTCCATGGGGTCACAGAATCAGACACAACTGAGCGACTTTCACTAGTGGCTCACAGCACACATTTATCTTCCAGTTCTAGAGGTCAGAAATCCTAAAATCAAGGTGTGAACAGGACTGTGTTCCTTCTGCAGGCTCTAGGGGAGAATCCATTTACTTGCCATTTCCAACTTATAGAGGCCACCTGTACTCTTTGACTGGTGACCCCTTCCTCCGTCTTCAAAGCCAGAAGTGTAATATCTCCAAAACTTTCTCTTCCTTTCTCCCACCCAAACCTCTCTCCCTTCTCAGCTTTTATCATCTCATCTCCTCTGACTCTCCTGCTTCCTTCTTTCCCTTATAAGGACCCTTAATTTAATCCACGTCTGCAAACCCCCTTTTGCCACATAGAATCACATATTCACAAGTTCTGGAAATAAGGATACGGACGTCTCTTGGGGGTTGGGGGCATTATCCTGCCTACGAAGTTGGTAACAGCCTGGAGCCTCTAATGTAAAGCTGCCAATTAATCTTTAACTTGTGAAGCTATTGATGACTTATGTGGATATATTGTTTCATTAAGATTGTGAAATGATGATTTTCTAATTGTTCCTTTCATATTTACTAGCTGGAATTATTCTTAAGAAATTCATCACCTAAGGCCATTTGATTACGCTGAAATTTATAATCAGGGAGGAAAGCGGGGCTCAGTGCAGAGTTCGTTCCTTTTCATTGTTGGTTCTCAGAGCAAGCAGCGTTGCCCTTGTCGTTGCCACTGTAGCCTGAAGAAGGTGGTGGTGGCTTTAAGTGTTTTACTGACGTTATTTTCTACTGTTGTTTACTCCCATTTTTGGAGTGATTGTTTTAGTCAGCTGCAGTCATTCTTTATGCTCACTTGTCCCTTTGGCTCCTATATCCTTTTGACCCAATCCTGTTGGACTTTGATGGCTTACCTGTTTGGTGGAATAGCTCGGTGGTGCCCTTGGCTCATCTTTTGTATGTCGAACCCTTGGCCTGGATGCAGCTGTTCCTCTGAGAAGTTGTGGTTCCTTTTTGTGAGGCATGGGATTTTAGAGACCATAAGTCAGGTGTCATTTTTAAAAGTTTAATATATTGTGCAGGCTGCAGAACCTGTATGTGAGCTTGATCCCACTCCTTAGCACAGTTTGCAACCTTTTTCATAGTCTCTGTCCACTTAGTTCTGTTTTCTCTTAAAGCAGTGGGCCGTGAGTGGTCCAGACTCTGCCTCAAGAATTCTCTCTATGCATCATTTCACCTTCTGAGGTGCAACTCCAGTGTGCAAGGATCTGATTGGTTCAGCTTCTTTTTATATCCCAGGCCACATTCTAGGTCTCCAG